AATTATATGAATTAGATCTTTATAATGTTGTTCTATAGTTTTTGAAAATATTATTATATCGTCCATATAAACGTGACAAGTTTTCCCAACTTGTTCTCTAAGTATATCGTCCATTGCCCTTTGGAAAATTCTGGGAGCGTTCGTCAATCCCATAGGCATTCTTAGAAATTCATATTTGCCGTTATTTATGGAAAAAGATGTTTTTTCAATATCTGATTCCCTCATTAAAATCTGATAGAAACCTGACTCTAAGTCAATGGCCGAGAAATATTTCGCTTTACCTAAATTGGCAAGGATTACTGAAGGATCTTGCATAGGGTATCTATCCGGTATAGTGTTTTCATTAAGTTTCTTAAAGTCTATTACTAATCTATGCTTAGGAGTTCCGTCCTCATTTACTCCCTTCTTTGGTACTACTATTACCGGTGAATTATATGGGCTTTTACTAGGTCTGATTATACCTTCATCTAACATTTTACTTATTTCGTTATTAACGAAATCGTTAACCGAATAAGCGTATGGATACTGCTTGCCATATACCGGTCTATCGTGTTCAGTGTTAATCTCTCCTTTTATATCCGTTCTGAACGGTAACTGTAAATTTATATTGGCATGGTCTTCTTCGATGATAGATACCATTTTCTCTCTGAGATTTTCTAAATTGTCCTCTTTGTAGGTTATTGTGTTATACAATTTCATTTTTTTCAATTCAGAATTTGCATAATTTTGAATGTCGGATATTTCTACGACGGCGCGTTCAGGATTTTTGCATCCCAAACTTTTAAATTGTTTATTGTCGGATAATTCAACGACGGCGTGTTCAGGATTCTTTAATCCCAAACTATTCGAACTTTTAGTGTCGGATAATTCAACGACGGCGTGCTCAGGATATTTTAATCCCAAACTATTAAAACTTTGGATGTCGGATAATTCAACGACGGCGGGCTCAGGATATTTGAATCCCAAACTATTGACGGATAATTCTTCGTCGGCGTGCTCAGGATTTTTTGATCCCAAGCTATATAAACTTCCTTCTACCTTTACTGAATCGCTTTTCATTTCTTTTTCTTCTTCAAAATATTTTTTTATTATATATTCCTTCAACGGAAGGATGGTTTTTCCTTCTATAAAGGTTAATTTGTTTAAAGAAAGGACCTCGTCATATATTAGTTTCTCCTCATTGTCTTTATAACTTAAAGTCCCCTTTCCTGTATCAATAACCGCTCCGATTTTCTTTAATAGGTTAAATCCTATTAGTAAATCTGCCTCCATTCCATCTATTTCATAAAACACTTGCTTTGTGTTGAAAATTGTTATATTATGGAAATATTTAATTATTGAAAACCCATTCACTGTAGCAACTTTCTTATAGATTGGTAATTCATTTTTATTGTCGTAAATTCCTTTTTTTATATAACAGGAAGTTGCTCCCGTATCTATCAAAACTTTTAATTCTCTGTTTATTTTTTTGTCTACTCTTTTTAGGTAGGGCAGACCTACTTCGGGGGCTGATCTAAAAAATGATCCTCCTCAATGTTATTTATCCTCATTGCTTTATTAGCCGGTTGTTCCGACATTTCGTTTAGTTTTCGTTTCTGCGCTGGATTGTCGTTAGACTGATTATTCGGGACTACGTTTGCCCTAAAATGCTGGGCTTGGCTATAATTGTTATTATTTCTCCTAAAATAACCGTTAGTATTCTCCCGATAATTTCTATTGTTATTATTTCCCCTGAATTGATTGCTGTTCTGTCGGTTCCGGATTTGTATAGATTCGTCTACCTCCATTGGTTCTGGGGCCTGATTTTGTTGTCTATTACCCAAGAAATAGGGTTGTCCCCAAGACATGTTATTCCTCTGCAAATCCCTTTTTTGGTCGAATGGTGAACTGTTAGTCCTAGGTTGTCGTTGGTTGAATCTTAAGGTATTAAAATTATTATTCCCTGAATTTCTGGGACCGCTGAATTGGTAGGCAAATTGGGCCCGAATGTTATTAGATTGCAATTCCTGTACCTTTGCTAAGGCATTCGGTAAATCTGGGGGATTCAATGAAAATAGGATTTCAGCAATGCCGCCGTTTAGGCCAGTGACAAAAATGCGTAAGGCATTGTCTCTAATTTTTTTATTTGATTCCTTGGTGATCTCACTGTCCTTTCCGTGAGTCATTATTGTCTTATTTATTAACAAGGTCATTTTCTTGTTAACCTCGTTATAGAAATCTATAATTGAAAGGTTCCCTTGTCGGAGAACGCTTAATTCCTGTTCTATTATGTAAATAGGTCTCTTGTCACTGTAAACAAAGTCAAGCCGTGAAAGTATGGCATCAAAATTTAGAACTGTCCCGTGGTTGGTCAGTGCGTCATGTGCTGGTCCTGTTATTTTGTTTCTCAAAATTGTTAATGCAATATAATATTGCTTACTTCCTTTCTTATATAACTTCACTGCAGTTTCTGCAGCTTCCCTCCATCCTACATATTGGTTTAATCCACCATTAAAAATTGGTAGGGATTCTATTACCTTCAATGTGGTGTCGTCTCTTATTGTCTCGTCTATTGTTTCTGCCTGATAATCCGATACCTGATCGGATTTAGTTTCTATTTGTTGTTTTAAATTTACAATTTGCTCTTGTACTTGTGAAATTTGAAGTGCTATCAATTGTTTGACCAGATCTGCTGTGAGATCGGTCCTTGCTTGAGAGTTAATCATTTTTAGTTTTTCAAAATCTAAAGTTAGCTGATCCACTTTTAATTTTTCTTATATGTTAGTTTTTATAATCTTATATATCCTAATTGAACTTATATATTTATTAATACAACTCTTGCTCACGAAATATCCGGTAGGGGTCGTCCTTCTTAGTTTGGCAGATCTTCGAACGGGTCTTCCTTCTTAAATTTCTTTGCTCAGCTGGGTCTTCTGGGGGTCTTCCTTCTTTGGCTTCGCTGATCGTTTCACTTTCTTTGTATTTTGGTTTTGTCGGTTTTGTTGGTTTTGTTTTTTTAAAAACTTTGGGTTTCTTTGGTTTTTTTTGTATTTACGAATTGCCTTGATTAGCTTTTTGTTTTATTTGTATTTTGCGTTGTATTTGTATTTGTATTTGTATTTGTATTTGTATTTGTATTTGTATTTGTTTTTGCACACCCTAAGCTCCGGTTTGTTTCCTTTTTATCTCACTTTTTTTTATCTATATCACACAGTCACTCCGCGTTTTTAATTTTGAAGGATTTATTCCATTAATTAATTGTCCTTCGGGTTTCGGCACGACGCAACACTTTTATCATTCGGTGCTTTTTAGACAACGTCGCCCCACGTTGGGCGCCAATTAAACAACTGCGGTAGCGGATTGTGTTTTTAAAAAGTTTTTATTTTACTTCGAACTTCACTGATATAGATTTAAGTAGAGGGTCACAAAGGAATTCCGGGCCAAGGGATTGCGCGATCTTAATATTTAGCTAGACTTTGCGGTGTCGCTGCTGGATCAAGACTGCTTTGAACTTTCTGATCTTTGCATCGTTGATCCCTTTCGGGAATCGTTTTTCTATAAACATTTCAATTGATTTCGCCATCCCGAGTATTAGATTTCGTCATCCAAAGAGAGAACTGTAAAAGGCCTAAAGTGCAGGATCTGCAGAAAGCCGGGAGTGAGATTGTTTATGAGAAGCCGGGTGTGGGCAAACATTGGTTTTCCATTTAGGCGAGTGTCAAAGAATGGGATTGCGGCGGGGGCGCTTGAGATTGTACATCTTAGAAATCAATTAGGCGGAGGCCCAAGATTGAAATTGTTTTCGTTTTGGAAAACCAAAGATTGTTTACAACTCGTATAAGAGCTCAATGGAATTGGGTACGTTAACTGGCATAGAGAAAGGCCCGGTTGACAACATTTAAATCCTTGTCGCTCACATTCAAAAAAGTTCGATTTGGCGCGCACCACTCGGTATATTTTTCAAATGAGACCGTATATTTCGGTTCTCGCCGCGCTCCAATGTGGTATTTTTTAGTGCTAAATGGTATTTTTGTCATTTATTAATTTCATTTTCAATGTTATATAGAAATCCAATAAATGCAAGTATTTCGAATAGGCCAATCATGTAAAGAATTGATTCATCAATCGTACGAAATTGAGTGGGCATGGCTAAATGTTCCATATAGATAGTATTATTCAACGGAACAAAGAATTGGTCGTTTTTTGAATCGAATTTGATTTCGCCGCAACAATGAGTCTCGTTCCATACACAATGTTGCGCATTCCATACACACTGTTGCAGCAACATTTACTTGAAAACCGTATTTTTGTCAAAATAAAATACATTAAGGTAATTTAAAGAAGCAATCTTGTAGAAAATGCATTTATCTATGGAATAAAGCTAAGTGGGCATCTATAGCTTATAATATAGGCAATACCCGATTCGCCGCAGTTTCGCTTTTGCAACAATGAGTCTCATTCCATACACAAACATGTTGCTAATTCCATGCACACATACCCTGGGGGAAGTGGATGTTATAGAATTGTAAAAACGTTTGTCTTCCAAGGCTCAGTAGGTATCAGGATCGACATAAATATATACAAGATACTAATAAGGTACTTGAATAGGTCTAAAGAATATCAATTTGAGAAAAGGTCTTAATAAATTACGTTTGATCTACATATAAAATTAGCGAAATAGGGTGTACAAAGGCCTATACACGCATCATGTCTTTAAATACCAGCAACATTGCGACTCTTTTTTTGTTGAACTTTTTCGTTTAAACCTTTTTTTACAATAAATACAATAAAAGCAAGGACTAAAAACTAACCAATTGTGTAGAAAATTGATGCATTAATTGGATAAAATTATGTGGGTAGCGCTGAGGGTTATATTTAATTAGTTATATTCCACGGAAGATCAAAAACGAGGAATATGTAAAATAGAACTTGAATTCGTCAGTATATTTACGGTATATTTTTCAAATGAGATGGTATGTTTCGGTATATTTTTATCAACACTGATCGCGCCACACGTGTGTAATTTGCAAACATTTTAAGTTAATTATTTACTTTGCTTAAAGCTGCCAAAATGAGTTCAGATGAGTCCAGCGATGGCCTGGAGGAGCTCAAAGACCTTATGGCCGTCTATGCCAAGAATGGAAACCGTCAGCCTGCCGCCAGAGAGAACAGAAAGAAGGCAGCGGTCCCTGAGACTTCATATGTGGAAGTACCTATGGAAAAGGTGATTTTCGGCGATAAGCAGAAGTTTTTGTCGAACCTAGCCAAGTCCGTGGGCAAGAAGTGGAACCACAGCGATGACGAAGACGCTGCTGATGGTAAAAACGATGCGGAGCAGTCCTCAAGCAAAAGGAAGGCGGCCTGGACAGACTCGGACGACGACGATATACAGCTGGGCGATGTTAAGCGTCCCACGAGGTACACTGGACCTCTGACACACTTGCGCAAGGATAAGTCATACAAAGAGTATCTGACGGCGCGCTTCCAGCACACCTTGAACCAGCCGAAATGGGCGGAAAAGCAGCAGAACGAGGACTCTGGCTCCTCATCGGATGAAGAGCTTCTTAAAACAGTTGGCTTTATCGATCACAAGGCCAAGAAACGCGAGCTGCGTCCGAAGACACTAAACTTTAAGCGTGTCAAGGATCTGAACCGGGCCACTTACTGCGAAGGGTTCGTCACCAGCGTGCAGTTCCATCCCACAAGCACGGCGGCACTGGTGGCTGGCGAGAACAGCTTGGCCACCATCTACACGGTCGACGGACAAAAGAACGAGAAGCTTCACAGCATGCGCTTCAAGAACTATCCCCTGCTCTGTTCCCGCATCGCACCATGCGGCACCAAAGCCTTCTTCGGATCAGTCCGATCGCACTTCTACGCCTACGATCTGCTTGAGGCCAAGGAGTCCAAGCTGTACCTGCCGGGCGACATACGCTCAATGCATCGATTTGAGGTTTCGCCCTGCGGAAAGTACATCGCGGTGGCTGGCAAGTTCGGGTCTGTCCACCTGTTGACTGCCAACACCAACGAGCTGTTGCACAGCTTCAAGCAAGAGGGTGCCGTGCGAGGACTGGCCTGGACGGCCGACTCGAAGCGTGTGCTGTGCTGCGGCTCCAGCTGCAATATAAACATTCTGTCGCTGCGACAGAACATCATCGAGCACTACTTCATTGACGACGGCTGCATCAACGGACAGTGCGTACAGCTGGCCCCCAATCAACGCCTCCTGGCCACCGGCAGCAACGAGGGTGTTGTCAACGTCTACGACTACGAGAGTATCTTCGCATCCAAAACACCGACGCCCGAGAAGCGCTTCATGAATCTGCGCACGGCCATCACGGACCTTAAATTCAATCACTCCTCGGAGCTGCTGGCCCTGAGCTCCAACCTGGCACCGAATGCCGTGAAGCTGGCCCACTTTCCGAGCGCCACCGTCTACTCGAACTTCCCGGACCAGAACGATAACGTTTCCTTCGTAAATACAATGGCTTTCTCACCGCAAAGCAGCTTCCTGGCCTTTGCCACCAAGGGCAAGAAAGTGCCCCTCTTTAGACTTAAATACTTCAAAGGCTATTAGCCATAAACAATGTTATTTTCAACATTTTACGAGTACACTTTTACCCCCATATTGTTCTGAAAGTATATAGCTTTGTATATAGTTATAGCGATCATTTATTTAATTTAAAAAGTAGACTTCAGTTCAAAGGGGGACGAAAGACGTCGCGCTTTTGGGTGTCGTGGATCTTCCCAATGTCGTCCAGCTTCTTGCAGATGTTGTTCGATTGCGACTCGATCCACTGCAGCGAGCTCATATGGGCATTGAGGATCTTGCCGATTTGTATAATCGGGTCTGTGTTGTCCTGGCCCTTGCTGGTCTCGTTCAGGTTGTCGATGATCTCCTTCAGGTCCTCGGACATCCGCTTCAGCTGGGTGTCCAGATTTTCCACCATAAGGAAGGTCTGGTTGCGCTCCATGTCGACCCTTGGCAGGGCGACGAACTCTTTCTCCAGCGGCGCTAGACTCTCCTCCAGCTCCTTGTGCTGGGTGGCGATAAACTCGAGCTCCTGGTCCAGCACCTGCTGATCATTCTTCACCTTCTTCACGGCATCATTCAATTCGATAATTTTATGGTTGTTGCTGATCAGTAACTTGTCCCAGGCGTTGATCTGCGTTGCCTGCTCGGTGAATATTTTTTCCTGCTCCTCAAACTCCAGGGTCCACTTGTTGATATGCTCCTCCAGTTGGTTGTACGACAATTGCGAAGCATTCGAAACCGCCGACGAATCCGTCGTCTTCGTTTCAGTTGTTAAATTGGCAAATGCCCCGCCGGTGCCTACAGCAGGCGCCACCACTCCAGTGAGAGGAGCCACAACAGCGGCTGTTGGTGCGGCTGTGCTCTTTGGCGTTGTCGTCAAACCGATTGCTGGACCACCAATCAGTCCCGTATTGGGAGCGGAGGTCGCCTGTGTTGGAGCTGCCGTGGGCTGGGCCATGAAGCCCGTTCCGAAGGTTGGCGCTGCAGCTGTGGCGGCCGCCGGGGCTGCAGTTGACGTTACGCCTGTGTTAGATCCGCCCAATGGCGTCGATAGCGAGAGGGCTGGCGCCGTGGATGCTCCAGGTAAACCAAATCCGCTAAATGGTGGTGGAGCCTGAGCCTTTCCGCTATCAGCATCTCCTCCGCCAATGTTGGTACCGGCTGGGCCGCCAAAAGAAAATGCTGGCTTTGCAGCGGGCGCAGCGGCCGCGCCTGCTGTTGGCGCTTGAGCATTCATGCCGAACGAGAACGAACCTGCAGCTGCAGGTGCACTTGTGGTTGTAGGCAACTGGAATGCCATTTTAGTTGAAGCGCAAAATCAAAATTTAATTAAATTCTCGTAGTCAAACGAAACACGCCAGATTTGTTAGTGCTATTAAATGTTGGAGTCTAGTGCTGGAAAATGCTGCTTGATCTATGGTATTTTTTAGCCGCAAATCTTTGGCTCAAGACGAATCGCGTATGATCCGCGTATATTCAAATCTCCGAACCACTACAGCATTAACGGTGCATCAAAGTCAAAAAGAAAACAAACATGATTAGCAAGAATGCTTTAACTTGTTAACTTCTGTATCTGCAAGTGGAGACGCATTGATAAGGCGACATTTAGGTCAAGAATTTAATTACAATGACGGGAGTGCAGTGGGAATGCACTTCACACTCGCCGAAATAGCATACATGTATGTATGCTGCATGTGTGTGGAGAATCCAATCCACGTTCTGGAGACATATTCCCGTGTTGTGTCGCACAGTTTAGGTGGCAAACAGCACACAATTAAACAACAAAGCATATAAGAAGCTGCTGTTCGGGCTCTTTTGTGATAAGCTGGATTGCGCTGTGAACTTGGGGCCGCTGCAAGTCAATCGTTCTCGTACTTAATGTTGATAAGAGCCTCGCTGCCGCCTGCCTGCCTGCTGAGTTTCGTATGTTCCACGCTAGTAGGAGGTAGGTGCAATCAGTTGAGTGGAGTATTCCGAAAGCAATTAGCCACTTGCCGCGTTTGTGTGTATCCCACCTTCTGTTCCCGCACAAGTAGGTTTCTGGGCAAACAATGTTATCTAGAGTGCCCCAACACCCACCCAGTGCACACAAAAATCTATAAATTCGTGAATTTTTACCACAGGCCAGGACTTAGACATCGCACAGAATTCAGAATGTACAGAACGTCGAGCGTCTTTTTGGGGACTTTTCTCCTTCTGCTGCTGCTGCACGGCGGAATGGGACTCGACAATGGACTGGCACTCACGTAAGCCATCGCGGTTTTCTCTTCCATTCTTTTCATTCTAAAGTGTTTATTTGCAGGCCACCAATGGGCTGGATGTCCTGGGAGCGGTAAGTGAATGATCTTCCCATGAAATTGGCTTTATAATTCAGACTTCTTACATTCAGTTTCCGCTGCCTAACAGATTGTAAGCTTTATCCAAACGAGTGCATAAGGTAGAACGAAAAGAAACTTAGATTACCGTTACACATACATTTTACTAACTGCCACCACTGGCCTCTTTATCAGTGAGGAGCTGTTCCGGCGGCATGCGGATTTGCTGGTGTCCGAGGGCTATGCCGATGCTGGCTACGAGTACATCATCATAGATGACTGCTGGCTGGAGAAGAACCGCGACAACAAGACCAAGAAATTAGTTGCAGACAAGAAGCGATTCCCCAACGGACTGAATCCTCTTGCAGATCATATACACAATATTGGACTGAAGTTCGGCTTGTACCAGGACTACGGCACGAACACCTGCGCTGGTTTTCCTGGAGTCATAAAGCACATGCAACTGGATGCCCAGACCTTTGCCGACTGGGACGTGGACTATGTCAAGCTGGATGGCTGCTATGCCAACATCAGCGATATGGCCGTGGGATACCCAGAGTTCGGACGTCTGCTCAACGCGACTGGCCGCCCAATGGTCTATTCCTGCAGCTGGCCCGCATACCAGGAGGATGCTGGAGAAATGCCCGACTATACGTCCTTGAAGCAGCACTGCAACCTGTGGCGCAACTGGGACGACATCGACGATTCGCTCGAGTCTGTGGCACAGATTATGGACTACTTTGGCAAGAACCAGGATAGGATCCAACCACATGCAGGGCCAGGCCACTGGAACGATCCCGATATGCTACTGCTGGGCAACTACGGACTGAGCTACGATCAAAGTAAGCTGCAAATGGCCATTTGGTCCGTTATGGCAGCGCCGCTGATCATGTCCAACGATTTGGCCGTGGTACGTCCAGAAATCAAGGATATTCTGCAGAATCGGTTTGTTCAGCCTTCGAGGATTTGAAGATGTAATAGCTAATCCCTTGTCTTCCGCCTTCCAGTAAAGTGATTGCTGTGGATCAAGATGAGTTGGGCATCCAGGGCCGTCGTATCCTGTCAAAAAATCAGATCGAAGTCTGGAGCAGACCCATCACGCCGGTGGTCAGCAATAACCAGCACTCTTATGCCGTGGCCTTTGTCAGCCGACGCGCTGATGGTGCTCCCTACAGAATCGTATTCACACTCAAGGAGCTCGAACTACACAATACCGCAGGCTACGATGTACAGGACCTCTACGATGACAAAAATCACTTGGGCGTCTTCCGCCCAGCCAACCAGTTTATCACGCGCGTTAATCCGAATGGCAAGTATCTGTATAAACTGCTCATCCGCACACGCTTTTAATCTCTTGGTCTTCTTGTCTTCCCTTCCAACAGGTGTAACTTTCTATAAGTTTACAGCACTCTGAAGGGGTTCGCCTCTGGCCCTTTGATGATATGCAAATCATTCAATTGCTGAGCCATATCTGCCATCCATCTGCTTCCAATATGCTCTTATACCAATGTTTTCAAAAATGCTTATTTTCTTTGCGATGGAAGAAGAGAATTAAATTAATTTTGATAATGAAAATCAGGTATGAAACCATAAAAGGGTGCACAACCACCCTTTGCCTTTTCTGCATTGATTTTCCATTATAGAGTTTAAATTTGTTAATTGATTAATACCATTAAAAAGATGCGCTACTGCGTTCTAATACGCTGTTGTTCTGGGCGCATTTAACATGCTATACACTAAAATATCAATTCGCCAGATACTTTCGGTAGGAAGTCGAATAATTTGCATTAATTTATATATTTTTTATGGTATCCACAAAAATGAATCATTTCATATATGTATGCATATATCAGTTGCAAAGTAAATAAATAATATTTTACTGGTCGTCGAAGTGGAAGTGTATATAAACTTCGTTGTAACGAAGTAGATTTCCTGCATTTTTATTGTTTCAAAACAATTTCGTGTGTGCATGCGTCTGCTTCACACGTGGATTAGTATTCTGTTGTACATTTATAGGCATGGATTTTAGTACCGATACTAGTTAAAAAGAAGAATTCGCTGGCGTGCTTCCACTTGGGTGTGGCATAAATAAGGCCCGACTTAATGAAATGTTAAATTTCAGGCGTTGTATAAATAATATATATGTATGTACGATCTGTGATTGGCCAAAGACTATAAGTTCAATTAGAATCCAAATGTTAAAACGTTCCTAAGAGGTAAAGAAAAATACACCCAGCACGCTCCGGTACGAGCGTAAACAGTAACCAACTATAGATACAGATACAGAGGCTAAGTCAAAAGTTATTGTCAAGTTGGGTAGCTCCAGAGGCGGAGTAGTAACCAAACCAGTGAGGGCCAGAGGGTGTGGGTTAGTGCACTCCATTGCTGATGGTTGGGGTGCGCTCGTATGTTCGCCGATGCAGCGAGTCCACATCCTTCAGGTAGTACGTGCCGGGGAATAGGACGCCCACGCTGCCCGTCGGCGTGTAGGGAGCCGCATGGTTGTTCTTCTCGCGCACCTCCATCAGCTCTGAGAACTGCTCGGGCGCAACCTTCTCGCGTGAGTTGAGCAGCGGCAGCACGTAGTCCAGCTGTGCCACAAACTTCTCAAAGGCTGCGGCATCCTGAGTCACACTGATCGAGTACATGGAGGCTGCCAGCCCAGAGCCGTACGAGAAGACACCGATGCGCTTGCCAACTAGATCCGCCGCCGGAACGCCGATCAGCAGGGAGACGAGGCCCGAGTAGACGGAGGGCGTGTACATGTTGCCCACCTGGTTGGCCAGCAACAGCGTCTTCTTGGTCTTGGCCTCGAACACGTCGGCCGATTGCGTGAGGAAGGCCTTCTCCACGTCGCGGTCGAAGTAGGTGCCCTCGAGGGTGGCATTGTTGAAGCGCTCCAGTCCGGCGAACTGCTCGGCGCGTTTCCCCTCGCTGGTCAGCAGAAAGTCGTTGAAACTCAGGCGGCCCACCGACTTCTGTACCAGCTTGCAGAACGGCGTGTGGAACAGAATGGCATCGAAGTTGTCGAGGCCCACTTTCCCGCTTTGTGTTTTTGCCTGCTGCTTCTCAAACTTCTGGCGGTACAAGCGATAGCAGGTGTCTAGGGCAGACAGGTAGCACTGGATTGAGAGTTTGCCGTCCACCGTGGGGTACTCGGAGCTGAGGTCTGGCTTGTAAAAGTCATAGGCATGCTCCATGTGCGTGGCCCGCAGGCCTCGCTCGAAGACCAGTGGTGCATTTGGTCCCACCAGCATGGCGACGGCGCCAGCGCCGCCAGTGGGGCGCGCTGCGCCCTTGGCATAAACAGCGATGTCCGCACAAACGGCCAGGGCATAGCGCCCGTCCCAGCTGGACGATTCGATCCAGTTGATGGCATTGAAGAGGGCCGCCGTGCCGCCGTAGCAGGCGTTTGTGGTGTCGATACCCTCAATGTCGGTGTTGCCGCTGTCCGCAAACAGCTGCATTAGCACCGACTTCACCGACTTGGACTTGTCCACGATCGTCTCAGTGCCGACCTCGAGACGTCCGATCTCCGTGTGCTTGATATGATGCCGTTCAAGCAGCCGACTCACAACCGTCAAACACAGGGAGTTGACATCCTCGCGGTCCGAGCAGAACCCCATCTTTGCCTGGCCCAGGCCGATTGTGTATTTGCCCGCGGAGGCGCCATCAAACTGTTCCAGCTCGGTTTGGTCCACATACTGTGAGGGGAAGAGCACCTCTATGGCGCGTATCCCAACGTTTTCGGGCCAGTTTGTTGCCATATTGTTATATTTATTGGTTTTCTTTTGTTTTTCCTGAGCTCTGCAAGTAATAGGAAACGGGAGAGAATTAGTGACTGAAATCTAATGGTGAACTCCTATCCACCGATCCAATTTCCATTCCCATTGCCACTGTTTTGGAAAACTTTCACCACTCAAATGGATATTCTGCGCAATGCGGTGTAAACGGTTTCGAATTATTTTAATGCGCTGCGACTTACAAATTGGACGAGGGCACAGCCAACTTGTTGCACGCTCGAGCTGCGACAGACGTGTGTGTGCCGACTGCTCGGAGCAGTGGCTGAAGAAGTCATCAAAGTCGGAGACGAAACCAGCAGCGGCGGCTGCGCAACAGTGGGGCCAAAACTGATGATTTCCCTGGTTTGAATGTGAATGAACAGACAGGCAGAGAGTGAGAGAGACACAGTAGTAATCAGGTGGAGAAAGTTTCCCCTCGCACAGCCAAAACTTTGTAAAAGAGAACACTAAGCCAAACCAAAAGCAAAGTAAGCCACAGCCAAAATGCACGCATCACAGAAATGTAAGTCGGAGCTAAGACAAGCCCAAGTTATTTCCACCAAAGGGACAAACAGAAGGGGCGCTGATGATGCTGTAGGACAGGTTAGAGGAGCGTCGTCGCGACGTCTTCTCCTATGTATGTAGGTCATATCCACACATGGCTCTCTCTCTCCCTCGCACACGCTCTCCGCTCTCTATTGTATAACTGATAACAGAGTGATGGGCAGCCGAAACCAAAAAAAATTGATTGACATGTTTACCGTTATTGTTAGCACCTGCTGGCACAGAAATCGAACTTTTCTATGTTTTCACTTTTTCGTGTGGCTTTGTCTTGCGTATTTTGGATATTCCCTCTGTTTTCTTTTTGCTGAAACGCCAAACGCGAAGCTCACTCGAACGAATCTCTCTGCCGACTGACGGCGATCAAGGCGCTCCACTGCCATATGAGTGCCCAGCGCCATCGAGTGCTTGGGGGCACTCGGAGCGGTGTTGTAAGTCAATGCCAACTGCTGAAAGCTTTTTGGGGGAACAAATACCCGATCGTGCATAATTACGGATATATTTATCATTTATCGCATAGAGATATAGCCAGTAGAAACCATAAGTACGGGCTGGGGGCTGGGGGAGGAGCGGGTTCTGTCGTTGCTTATTCTACTGTTGCGATGGGGGATAAGATCAAAGCGGCCCCGGTGCGCGCCCCCTGATAAGCCACTGCAGACGGAACAAAGCCATTTCCCAATAAGTAGTCGGTTGTATTGTATTCCTCAAAACTAAGGATCACCCGTCGCGGTCAAGGTACACCGGCGTTGGGCAATGCTATGGAAATGGATGCACTGTTTATGCAGTAGAGGGGCAGCAAGAAGGCAGTTTGCGGCTTTGTGGGTTTATTTTTAGCCCTCAAACTTTGGAAGTGTATAAACAAAAGTAATTACTCAGCGTGAAATGTATGGAACCGAAATTTTTTCCACTGTGCATATACACTTAGCTAATTGCTCTTCCCACTTGAGTCATCGCTACAATTGGCGCATCAGGCCACCTCCGCCGCGACCAGTCAAAGGTTAAACTCACAGCACACGTGTGGCCATAAACTGGGCGATAGGAATTATTTTGGGGGCACGTTATGAAACAGTATCAACTCGAAATGAAATTGTTAGACCACCGAAAGGTGGAGGACCCAATTTCTAGGACTGAGGTCTAGCACTAGTCGCCCTTTCTTCTCCTCTCATTGCTTTGACTCCTGCAACCAGGCATCCTTTATGGCGATGCTCTACCAATCAAAACACCTATTTCAAACGCCGACTTCTGGTTACATCAGCGGGCGACGTGTTGCTCGCATCGCCTGTTGTCCCGAACACGCACTTCCTGCACTTATGGACTACCTGCTCACTCACTTGTAGGTATTCCGGTCCGAAGCGTGGGTATAATTTAACTAAACTAATCTTTTATAATTAGGCACTGGCTAAGTGCAAATACTTTGCGCTGTGGCCGCGCTTATCAGCTGTTCTCTCAGCTGTGTTTTTCCCCGATTGGTTGCCACTCAGTATTTTTTCATTCGCTGTCGCTGGTAACACTGAAACCCATCACGTGAATCTCATGTGGTGTGTGTGAATTGTCACTTTTTTCGCGGCCAGTTTTCACCACAGACTCTTGCTCCGTTTGCACGTACGACTCGTATTTGTGGGTGGCGGCGGTTAATTTGCGCTTGATTTCAGCAGATCCAAGTTTTGTAACGCACAAAAAACTCATCTAGTGTCTCTCCATCTACCAGTCCGTGTGTAATAACCACTAAAACGTAAGTTCATGTGAGCAGTAACAGCTTTTCCACGTCCGCGGGTGTGTGAAAACCTTGTGCAACGAAGAACTCGTGAAAAATTCTGTTATTTCATCGGCGTAGACCTGCTGACTGTTGCCTGAAACGTAAATTGCAATATTGGCATTTGTGCAAGTGAGAGTAAATCTTTTCCGATGTGGCTGCTGCGCTTCGACATTGTATTTGTCGTGCAAATCAAGTGACCCTGAAAATGAGGCCTCCACAAGTTGTTCTTCATTTTGCGTAGTTGTTCGCTGGTTCTACGGAGGCCAAACATTTCCTGATAGATTGGGATATATCTGGAAATTTCCAAGCGGCCTCAGCGTGGGCGGAACAATCAGAAATATGTGGGAAATGTTTTGGTTTTGTATTGAAAACCCGTGAGCAGAAAATTATCGATCGAAAAACTGTCATGTGACTGTCATCAAAACAGCTGACGGCAAAATTTTACTCACCACGGTTGACTGTCGTTGTGGTGACAAGAGAGAGAGAGAGCGCCGCCCGGTCAGAGAGTTGAGAGTGGTTCTCTCTCTCTTACTCTGCGTAAACAAAATTTAAAGAAAGAACTGGCGCCTTGCTATAATTTGAACCGTTTCGGGGAATATAAATTCTTAAATAAAGCACGTACCATTTGATTAATTGAATGAATTTCCGCTAAGAAAACTGCAGGCTTGTGCCATAAATATATACTCTCTATGTGAAT